GGCTTCAGCAGGTTGAGGCAGGAGCAGCAGTGCACATGCAAGTCTGGAGTCTAGTTTGGAATAGTCACTGGTGGTACATGAGTGAGGTAGATGGAGCCTCTGTGAAAAGCACCTTCCAACTGCCCGTGTGGGTTGCAACATCTTTGCCTGCCTGGAAAATACTTTGTGCAGTCAGCAGCACGGTTGCTGGAACAAAAGAGGAGGAGAGGAGCAGAAGAGACCTGGGCTTGAAGCATGGCATCATTTTGCTGTGTTTGGTCTGTGTCTGCTTGGTGGTATTGCACTGTATTGGGGAAGGTCTTAGAGATAAGACAGCAAAAAGGCATTGCTGTGTTCAGACAGGGGGGAAGAGGTAACGACTGCTGCTGCTTAGAAGCACTGTAACGAACTGTAGTGGGAACAGTGCAGGTGTCTGCCAGCCCTGATAACACAGGGATGTTAAAAGGAGAGCTCTTATTTGAGAGCAGGCTCTTAAATAAGATTCCTTCTGTGTTCAGAGACATTCCTCTGCTTATCTGTGTATGGCTGGCCTGTGCTTCACACCCTGAAGTCCATCATGCTTACCTTGTAACAGCCTGGGGAAAGGTGGGTGCAGGGTCAATGGAGTTATAGTAGTTAGAGGATGGGGATTTAAGGAAGCAAAATTTGCCCTGGGGGGAGGTGTTTCAAACCCTGGTGGTATTGCAGCTGAGGAAGTATAACTCTGGGACTTACAAAGAGCTCCTTAATGTCAGGCCAAGATAACTCTTTGTCTTACAGGAGTGTAACAGCATTAGTAATGTCTGCCTTCTGAATTCAGTTCAGTGGAGCATCTGCCTGGAGTACTAACAGCTGGGATCATTACTGTAAGCTGTTAGACCACATCTAGTGTTGTCCAGCATCATGACTAAAAAAGCAGCAACAGAATGAAATAAAGCAGCATGAAAGTGTCCCAGTTCCCCCATGCCTTCCATCCCATACAAAAAATACTCCAAGAGTGAAAATAAACATCATTTTAATGTGAACACTTCCAACAGATCACAGAATAACTCCAACTGTTTCTTAATCTACCATTTTAACTCAGTGCCATCAATACCACAGGAAAAAATAGATCAAGAAGTATAAACATCCATGGAAGTAGTAGGCCAGCCCTCCATTGGGATGTCCCTGTAACACCCTGTAGCAACTGTTCCAGAAGGCACAGAAAAGCTCAACTTTTAACAGAAAACTGACCAAAAAACAAGCTGCAAAGAGCCCAAGCACCTGTACTGTGACATAGTGCAGAGTGGACTGAAGTTGCTGTTGGTTTTCTTATACGTGCTGAATAATTAAAGATAAAAGTTGCTGCTGTAAACACCTTCCCAGTCACACCATGCAGCAGAAACTCAACTGAAGGCCAGCAGGTGTCAGGGAGGAGAGGGAATGTGCTCAGCCCTGTGCAAGTAACAATGACTTGGTTTTAAGAGTGGTATGCAGTGCTCCTTTAGCAACCCTACTTAATAGCAGCACAAATGAAGCACAACTGTCACCTGAATAAGGACTAAGAAAACTCTCAGTTTGTAACTTCTCAGAAAGAGCAGCCACTTTGTGTGCATCTTGGCCAAGTGGATAAAGTCCCTGAGGCCAGCAGGTATAGGCACATTGACTTCAACCAGGGAAGTTCACCCATATGCCTCCTTCTCAGGCAAGTGCATGAAAACTTTGCATAATCTTAGAACCAGATACACAAACTGTATATCAAACAACTACTTTAACATTCACTGAGGTGGCACAGAATGCACCACATCTCAGCAGCAATTAAAGATAGATCTCAGTACCAATCCTGCATTCAGATTGGTCCCTGCAGCATCAGAAGGGAGAAACTTCCTTCTGCAGCAGAAAAAGCTTTCCTTGTTGCTTGGTTACCCTAGGCTCTGTTCAATTCTTGCAGTAGTTTCCGTGCAGCTGTGTTCTTTGGTTCAATTTTTAACAAGCTGTTGATGTCAGCAATACTTGATTTGTAATCCTAGAAAAAGAATTTGTAAGTGTTAGTGCACTGAAAATGCAGTCTAAGTCTCTTGCTGGAGAACTACACCCAGTGACAGAGGCAAGGCAACACAACAGCCTGGGACTGTTTTTTGAGCACCAGAATCAGTGTAGCTGTTCTAAAACGTGCTGACAAGCATTAACAGGCTCCTACCTGAAAACTGGTCGAAAACTCCTGACTTACCTTCAGTTCTTTAAGTGCCTGAGCACGTCTGTAGAATGCCTTAACGTTTTTAGGATCTAATTGCAGAGCTTCTGTGCAGTCCTGCACTGCTTCCTTGTGTTGCTTCAGAGTCAAGTAACAGAGAGCTCTGCAATACAGACACCTGGTTAGAATCCTTTGGTTAAAAGCAGTATTTATGGCTGCAATGCAGAGAACTAGCCACAGCACAAAGCTGGACTCCCAAACCAGGGAGTATGCTAAGGAATCATTGATCAGAGCTCAATGCTTACGTTAAAAAGAGCACAAAATAGCAAACAGTTTATCAGTCTGCAAAAAAAAAACAACCCAGCATTTTTAGAGCAACGTGCTCCTTGCTCTGCCACTCTGGAACATGCTCTGCTCATCTCAGAAGTGCACTCTGAGTACAGCAGAGTGCAATTTGTGGTTCGTGGGGCAGTAGACAAATAACAAAATGATACAGTCCTGGCAGACAAGCATTAAAGGGATGAAGCCTTTAGCAGTCCTAGGCTGAGTGGCCCTAGGGCTTGTTGCAGAATCTGATCAAAGAACATTATACAAAGTACAGGGCAGATTGTACCTGGGGGAAATGTGTGGGTGTTTTGTTGTTTGTTTTTTTAAAATTCAGTTGTCTGGAAAAAACACCAGACAGCTGTGTCAGAAGTTCCAAAGTGGCTTTTATAAAATGCCAAAAAGCACTTGGGCAATACCTGTTGGTGTAAGTTGCACATTCCTGGTTGAGCTTTAAACTCTCACTGTACTTCTCAATTGCCTTTTTATGGTTTCCTTTCTTTACGAGTTCATTTCCTTCTTCCTTAAGAGTTCGAGCTCTCTCTGTGCCAGCAGCAGTCTGGGCTGGAAGCAGTGCAAAAAAAAAATACATATAGAAGCAATAAGATCAGACCAGCCTCTCAGAAGGCAAACAGCCCCATCCCAGAGGCAAGATGCAGATCAAAGGATCCAGAACGAGTGGCCAGCCCATGTTCCTGCAGCTCTCAGCCCCAGCTACAGACACCATGCAGGCACGGCAGCCTGCCTCGCTGTCTGCAGCCCTGCTGAGCTGAAGGGCTCTCACCTGGGTCACCCTGTGGTATGTTTCCAGAGGGAGCATCTCCTGTGGGGGCTCCTGCAGAAGGAACACCCCATCTTCTCTGGGCATCAATGGGGACTCTGGGGATGGGTGGGAGCTTCTCGCGCCAGTTCGCCCCGTGCTTCTCCAGCAGAGCTTTGGTCATCCTGGAAGAGATGGCTGGTGGTTGCACTCCTGCTGGTTGATAGCATAGGAGCTGGGGGGACTACTTTTTAACCTGACTCATGCTGAGGACCTCCTCACTGAAAACTTTACACGCATCTCAACTACAGAAAGGGTGTTAAGGAAAAGTGTGTCTTCACGTTAGCAGGGCCAAAAATACCACTAGACAACAGCTGGGACTGTTAATGCTCAGCTGGGCAGGGGATGTTTGTCACTCCTCAGTGAGCAGTGAAGTGAATTGGACGCCTCCAAGAAGAGAAAATGACTCCAGCAGTCTGCAATCCCATCTGCATGGGGGGCACAATGCACAGGACACCAGAACTTGTAAATTATTTTTCTTTTAAAATAAGTACTGGGCAAAGCAAGAAATCATTCCCAGGCCTCTATCATGTGTCAGCAGCCTGAAAGGAGCTGAGGGCATTAGCACACGCAGGGAGCATGACCCAGCCTGCCCTCTGCACAGAGCATCAGATCCTCAGCCATCTTGTTAACGTGCTCAGGACGCAGCACGCTCCTGACACTGCTGCAGAAACAAAACAGGGCTCTGATCCATAGGCTGGGGTTGGAAGAGACCTTAAAGCTGATCCACTTCCAACCCCTGCTGTGGGCTGGCTGCCCCCTACCACACGCCCAGGGCCGAATCCAACCTGGCTTTGGGCACCTCCAGAGATGGAGCACCCACAGCTCTCCAGGCAGCCTGGAGCAGCAAACCAGACCGCAGCACTCAGAGGCAGAAAGCAGGGCGCAGTGGGGGTTACCTGTTGACCCCATAGTGGGCCGCCTGTATGGAGCAGTCCACCTGCAGGGCGGTCTTGTAGTCCACATAAGCCAGCACGAAGTTCTCCAGCGCCTCATAGGCAGCCGCTCGCCTGAGCAGGGGCTTGATGGCAAACGGGGTCAGGCTGAGAGCGCTGTGACGGGGAGAGAGAAGGTGACAGCGGGCACAGAGGCCTCAGGGAGCTCCCTGCTGCCTGCAACTGGACGTGTCCTGTGAGCGCTGAGCGGTGCAGGTGTGTGCTCACACACGGCGGTGCTAAACGGTGGGAAACGGGCTGGGAGCCGCTGTCTCATTTCCTACCGTAACGAACTAAAGGGGGAAAGAAGGGAATTCTTTCCTCGGGGATGGAAACCATAAGGGAAGGGCTGCAGCTCCGGAGCCGCTCCCGAGATCTCAATGCCCATCAACCCCAGGGGAGCGGTCTATTTTCCACTGCAGAGGGGACCAGAAGGACTCGCTCACCCGCAGCAGTCGGCGACGCAGTCCCGGCAGGCGCCGTACCGCAGCTGGCAGGCGGCGCGGTTGGCCAGCAGCACGCTGCGCTCCTCGGCGGCGGCTTCGCCTGCGCGGCACACAGAGGTGAGGTGTGGCGAGCCCGGCCCCGCCCCGCCCCGCCCCGCCCCGCCCGGCCCCGCGGTACCTGCATCCTCCAGCATCGCCAGCGCGCGGCTGTACAGCTCCGCGGCCGCCCCGTACTGCCCGCGGCGGAACTCATCGTTGCCGGCGCGGCGCAGCTTGCCCGCGCTCTCCATCCTGGGCCGCGCGACTCCGCGTGAGGGCGGCGACTTCCGGCGGCGGGCGGAAGCGGCGCCGGGCCGCGATGGAGGAGTGAGAGCGGCGGGCTGGGAATGGCCGTCCACGGCGCTATGGAGACGGTGCAGCTGAGGAACCCGCGGCGGTGAGGACGGGGCGGGGGAGCTGGGACGGGGCTGAGGTTGAGGGCGGCGGTCGGGGCTCCGGGCGGACGGGAGGCAGCGGGGGCCGGCGATCTCGTCCGGCGCTGTGCTCGGGCTGGGGGCGGCGGAAGCGGGACGGCACGGCATAGCACAGCATAGCGTGACACGGCACGGCGCGGCACAGCATAGCATGACACGGCACGGCACAGCGTAGCACGGCACGGTACGGGTGACGGTAGCGCTGCGGGAAGCGGCTGCCTCCTTCACTCGGCGTTTCGCCACTTCCTGACTCGCCGGCACGTTTCCTCCGCTGCAGGAAGCCATTGTGCGCCCAGCCTCTGCACGGCGATAAAAAGGGGAGAAAAGTGCATGTTTAGTGAGGAGCGCAGCGAGTCTGTGCGGAGCGGCGGTGTTTACTGGCAGTACAGTGGTCTGTTTTAGTGTATGTGTACCGTCTGTCCTTGTAACATTTTCCTTAGCGCCATAGAACGGCTTGGGTCGGATGGGACATCAGCGATCATCGCGTTCCAACCCCCCGCTGTGCTGCCCAGGGCCCGACCGGCCCGGCCTTGAACGGCCCCAGGGCTGGGGCATTGCCTCCCTCCCCCCAGTCTGGGCAGCTCGTTCCGGCGCCTGACATCTGAGCTAAACCTTCCCTCCTTTCATTTTAAACCATCCCCCCTTATCCTGTCGCTATTCACCCATGTAAAAGAGTTGTTTTCCCTTCTGTTTATGATCTCCTTTTGGCTGCATTGAGGTCTCCCTGCAGCTTTCTGTTCTCTGGGCAGAACCAGAGGCTCCTCCAACATGTCTTTATAGGATATGTAGTGCCTTTTATTTATAAAGATACAGCGCTCAGCTGCCGTAGGAAGTTTCTTGGTGAACAGCTGTCAGCATGGCAGTGTGAACTGAAACAAGTGTAGTTGGTTTCCGTGTTGTTTTGTGTGTGGGATCTCCATAAAGTTGTACTGGGGATTAGGTTGATAAGCGAGGGGTCGCAGTACAACTCCAGCTGGCTCTTCCTCTTTTGTGCAGTATCTGTCTAGGCACAGAACCAGTGGTTAAACTAATACCATTAAAGCTGTACAAGTGAGATTAGTGCAGTACTGCCTCCTTCCTCAAAGCAAGCATCTTACAGTATGTATGGAACGCATCAGACAAGGCTGCCTTCCCCTCTGCGTGTTCCCTTCTGCGTGCCCTTAGTGTAATGTACTTTCCAGACAGAACTGTGAACATTAGCAGTATGGTCAGTAGCTGCAAGAGGCTGCTGTGCTGTGTTAGGGTTTGGCCACCAGCATGCAGATCCCTTAGTGTGTTCTGCAAAGAAGGACTGTAGATGTGTGTCTGTGATCAAACCCTGTGCTCTGTAACTCTCGCTCCTCTTCTGATGTTAGATAACGCTAATGATGAAACGTCTTCTGATGATGGGAAATAAACTTATTTGATAAGCAACCTACTTTATACTGAGCCTTTTGTAATTTTAAATGGCATTTTTAAATCTTTCTGTTTCAACAGAGCCCAAACTGCCATAAAATTAAGTGAAATTTCTCTATTCTTATATACACAGGCAGCTGAAGAAGTTGGATGAAGACAGCTTAACCAAACAGCCTGAAGAAGTATTTGATGTATTGGAGAAGCTTGGAGAAGGGTATGTGCTATGTGACAATGTGCCTTAAGTACATTTATCAAAGAACAGATGTGTGTAACTAATATGCGCTCGATGGGCTTTGATTTTTCACTTTTGATGATCCTGTTACTGTAGAAGTATGTGGTAATGTAGCAGCTGCAGTGACTCGAGGCATTGCTGTTCATCCCAGTACCTCTGCAGGAGGTCTGTGTGATGGCAGGCAGCTTCTGTTTCCTAGGGCTACTTGTGTTGAGAGCACTAAATAGTATGTTTACCACTTTAAGCACTTCGTTTATAAAACAGAGTGGGAATTCTTCCTAGCTGCTGTAAGAAGATGGAAATAAAGTAAACAGTGTCTGATGAGTGAGCAAAGCTTTCTGACCTGAGCTGTGGTTTTTACCGTTGCTCAGTGGTACCGTGTGCCAGAGAAGGAGAGAACTGGCTTTATTGGATTCTTCCAAAGCTGTGGGCATGTAATGGTGGTTGGCTCCTTTCTGACCATCTCAGCATGCTGCTGGTTGTTACAGCATATTCAAGCTGTGGGTTGATTACGTAAATAAATTGAAAAATTCTCTTAGCAGGAGGGTGATTTGTTTTTTCCTCTCAAGTCTGCAATTGCAATTATCATGCTTTTTGTGTTTTAAAAATATTACTGTATTCACTATTTGTTTAATATTTTGTTCCGCAGTTCGTATGGCAGTGTGTTCAAAGCTATTCATAAAGAGACGGGTCAGGTGGTTGCAATCAAACAGGTTCCTGTGGAGTCTGACCTGCAAGAGATTATAAAGGAGATATCCATAATGCAGCAGTGTGACAGGTAAATGTGTACTGCAGAACCCATCGTCAGTATGCAAAGAAAGTATTGACTGTGATCTGGCATGTAGTCACATAAAAGCGATGATGTTGCCTTCAATGTTTTTTGAAAGGCTGGACTTGTACAGTCAAGTTACCCCGTATCAGCTGAGTCATGTTTGGGTAGTGTTAACCCAAGTGAAGGTAAGACAACAACAATTTAGCTTGCAATGTGAGAGCATTAAGCTGACTAAGTGAAATAACCTTGCACCTGCTGCCAGCACAGAGCAAAGCGTGTGAGCAGCTCCTGCAGTGCTCCTGATGCACCTTAACTTCTGGGCAGCAGTGATGAGGTTGTGTGTTAGACCAGTTCCCCTGTCCAATGGGGCAGTGAATTGCACACGAGCTTTGGGATATGAAAACGCTAGGAGAGAGATTGTTTTGGTTTATTGGGTTTTCAAGGGGCATGTGGATGAGAGCTGCTAATGCATGACTGCTCTTGCATGTGCGCAGTGTACGTGCTGTCATCTGCTTTAGGTGGCAGAATTGTACTTACAGTGCAGGTTGCAGTGCGTGACAAGCTGTCTGCTGATGTTAGCATGCTGAGAATAACTTATGGGCTGATGTTTGGCTCTTTGGTTGTCTGCACGTTTCTTATGGAAAAAGTCATTTTATGAGCTTAGCTGGGCAAGAGCAAGGGCTGCAGAAGGCCTCCTGTCAGTGACTGAAGAGTAAAACATACAAAAAATACAAAAATACACAAATACTGTGATTTGAGTCCAGCCTCAAGAAATGCTATTTTGAGGAAGTTTAGGCATAGGAAACCATTTAAAACAAATGACATTAGCAATATAAAACTATGTTCCTAGTCATTCACTCTATTGCTCTTCACTCTCACTATCATTAAGTGAAGATAATTGGTGGCAGCTAAGAGAATGAAACTTCTAACAGATTTAGTCTTGTGAAGTCGTACTGTGTGAATCAACAGAGCATAAGATTTTCTTCTCAAACATTAAAGAATACACTGGGGTGGGATTGGCTTCTCAGTGTTGCTCGTCTTGAACTTCTTCATTAGAAAGTATTTGGCAGACCTTAGGTTAAGTGCACTTCTGTTCTTTGGCTTTGTCCTCATTAAATCAGAAGGGTTCTCTCTCTTAGCCTTTTTGCTTTACCTTTCCCAAAGGATAAATGGTCGTTCTGACTGTGCTGTACTTTGTTGTTCACCCTCTGGGCAGTCCAGTAGTTGACTACAAGGGAAAGATTTAGGTTGTACTTAATTCCTAAAATAACTTGCATTTCTGGACTGAATAATAGAAATAAGAAGGTGAACATTCCTCATAATCACCACAGCGGTTATTTTCCAGCTTTTGACCTTATTTAATCTTTCTGTTTGGTTTCAGACACTCTGCAGCAGCTTTACCAGGATCTTGCCAAGGTCCGTTTTTCATTCCATTGATGCCCTGCCTACTTGATGGCCACAGTTCAGGGAGCAAAAGCAGACTGAAAGCTGATCTCTCCTTGTTTCTGCAGGATTTACTTTCAGACGTTTTAGCTCCCTGAACTGCTGTTGTGACAGGTCATGTGCACACCACTGCCAGGACAGGCTTGCAGGACTGTGGTTGCTCTCTGCAGACTCAGGCTGGTGCAAAACTCTTGGTCAGGGCTTCAGTGGCACTTCCATGTCTGAATTTTTAGAACCTGCTTAGGGAGGCTGCAGTATTGTTTGCCTTTGCTTATTCAGGTGTGCTGTTCTCCAGTATTTGACCCTTTGTTCTCATTTTGTCACGTTTCATAGCCCTCATGTGGTGAAATATTACGGCAGCTACTTTAAGAACACAGACCTGTGGATCGTCATGGAATACTGCGGCGCTGGATCCGTGTCTGATATTATTCGGTTACGAAATAAAACTGTACGTACTCTTTCTTCTGAATGCTATAAATGGGAAGCAGGAGTGGTGGCTCAGGAAGCTGAGCAGCACATTCAGTGCTTTTGGTGTAATTCTCATGAGGTGTTCAGTGTCTGAAACAACCACGGGCTGCCACTGCAATGTGGGTCCTTTGTTCCCCTGAAGATAAGAAGGCTGGTTATGTTGATCAAGTTTGGGTTGTTTGGCTGATGTAATGATCTTGCAAGGTTTTGGTGAGGTGTTTGGTTGGCATTCCTGAAAACCCAGGCAGGTTCTGAATGGCAGACTGCTTGGCCTTGCTTCTGGCTTTGCAGGGTAAGAGTTACTAGGTGTGGAAGGCTGTGGTGCAGATGTGCAGGTATGCTGGTCGAAAGCTAATTCTCATATGTAATGCTGAAGGTTGCTACCTAGAAGTATACGTATTCCTCTATTAGTCAGTATGGCAACCTTTGATAAAGGCAATTAAATAACAGTCTGTAAATCTCAGGGAGGTATAAACTGAAACACCACTGTGTTCCATCTCAGAAACCGAGAGGTTGACAGTAACACTTCTTTTTAGCTTACAGAGGAGGAAATTGCTACGATAGTACAATCAACACTGAAAGGGCTGGAGTACCTGCATTTTATGAGGAAAATACATAGAGATATCAAAGCTGGAAATATATTGCTAAATACAGAGGGACATGCTAAGCTTGCAGATTTTGGAGTGGCAGGACAACTCACAGTAAGTAAAACCAAGATGGTTGTGTACCCCTCTGGTCTTCTTTCTAATGTCACGTGCTTGTGGAGACTTTGAGACATTCAGAAGTGTTTTCAGCACTTTACATCAACATAATGAGACACTATGGCAGCAGCAGAGCTTCCTCTTTGGGAGCTGTTAGACCTAAGTAATGGTTTGTAATAACATTTGCTGTTTGCTTCAGTTGTGTCTAATGTCTGCAGCATATTTCAGTTTTTCTCTGCTGCTTTCCATATCTTTGTCTTGCTTAACCTGGTAATATATACATGTGCAGATGGAAGATAATTAAGATTGTAAATCGTTAATGAATATTTGTGGCTAATAACAGTTGCCATGGTCTGGATTTTTATCCTGCTCTTCTTCTCAGGATACCATGGCAAAACGGAACACAGTTATAGGGACCCCGTTTTGGATGGCTCCAGAAGTGATTCAAGAGATTGGATACAATTGCGTTGCAGACATCTGGTCACTGGGAATCACTGCAATAGAAATGGCTGAAGGCAAACCACCATATGCAGATATTCATCCTATGAGGGTGAGGACTGTGACTTTTTAAAATGTATTGCGATGCAAAATCTGTGATCTGCTATGACAGCTGGATGAGTGATGTATCAAGGTGCCCTCTTGTTTATAATTTAGAGAAAATGGTTTGCTTTCTGTCACTTTGTTGTACTGTTGATTAAATGTAAAATGGAGAAGGAAAATTGTGATCCTCATCTATCAAGGCACGGCTGAGTCTTCCAGTGTTGAGTGTGAAGAAATATATTTTATGCTGTGCATTATACAAAATGTTTTTTTTGTTTTCAAACCAGCACATATTTTTAAGACTTTAAAATGGCAGATTCACACCTCTTGGTGCAGCTAATGGCTCAGACAGACGTGTAAGCTCCTAGTCAGAAAAGTCTGATTTGTTGCTCTATCCTCCCTCTGCGCAGTTTAATATATAAAATATTGGTGGAGACTCTTCTGAAGCAGCAAACTTGAAACATGTATCATTCTTTAATGCCTGTGTATGTTTTTATGTATTTATGTGAGGAGATTTTAAACTTGGTTTGGAAACCTGGCATATTCTTCTGTTTTTAGGCAATTTTCATGATTCCTACCAATCCGCCTCCAACGTTTCGGAAACCAGAGCTCTGGTCAGATGCTTTCACAGACTTCGTGAAGCAGTGTCTTGTCAAGAGCCCTGAGCAGCGTGCTACTGCAACACAGCTTCTGCAGGTCTGCCTCGTCTTGGGAGAGTGTGAACTCTAGAGCAGGCTTGCTGTAGTGCAGGCAGTGCTGCGCCCCTTGGGCTGTTGTCATTTCTTGGGTTATCCTTCTCATTACAAATTTCACTCTCTAATAGCTGATCTAAAAACCTTGTACCCAACTTCAGCCTTTCAGTTCTTCCCTAAGATCTGATCTGATTTCATCTTCCTGTCTTTGTGGATGGTTTTTGTTTTTGTTTTGTTTTTGTTTCTTTTTTTTTTTTAATCCTTCAGCTTCTCACCAGCAATGCCAAGTACCTGTCTCTTAATTCACTAGAAAGCAACTAGGTGAACTTTAAGGTCTCCTCCAACCTAAGCCATTCTATGATTCTAAGTGAAAGTAACTGCTCAGAATGATGTATGCATTTGTAGTTGGTTGTTGACAGTTCAGTTGGTGAGGAGTAAGTGGGGCTTGTGGGCGGGGAATGAGCCCGGGTGTCACAGCAGTGGTGCCTTCAGAGTGTGATCTTGTCCGTGCAGACAGGTCTCCCTCCTGCGCCGTGCAGAAGGTTTTTTGTTTTGTTCTGTTTTTAGCAAAGGATTGAATTAAACATCAGTTTTGATTGGAAACGGGCCACATAACAGTGTTTTACTGTCAGGTGCTGGTTCAGGTGCAGTGCTTACTAACTTTAACATACTACACAGCACCCATTTGTTAAAAGTGCCAAAGGAGCATCAATTCTGCGCGATTTGATTAACGAAGCGATGGACATCAAACTGAAACGCCAGGAGGCACAACAGCGTGAGCTGGATCAAGAAGATGAAGAAAATTCAGTGAGTATTTCATAGCTGCAGCATACAGAGTTCAGACTCCTGGACCTTGCATAATGCCAAGCTGCTTTGGTCCTTATTTTTGTAATATTTTGTTTAACTGCTCAAAGGTTTTACGTAGCTCTAGAGTTTTGTACTTATGGCTGCTTAACTTGATATTTGAGCTCTGCTCTGCCTTTGTGTTTGAATGGAGCAGTCAGCAATTATGACTTTGTATTTAGCTCAAAGTGTAGCTAAGACCTGCCATTGGCTGTGAGTGTGTAGTAGCACATGCTAAAGACTCAGTACGGGTTTCTAATTGGATAATATTATTTATGCAGCAATGAGAATGTTTCACAGTAGAGTCAGATCTTCTATTGCTCTCAATACAAACGAATATCTGTGATGCACTATAAGTGTGTTATGTTGTTTCACTGTTGTTGTGCTTTAGAACACCCCTTATAGAAACTTTGTACTACACAAGAGCAACCGCCAGAAGTATGAGGTGAGGGCATGACAAGTGTGCAGGGGATTGCTGTGAATTTCTGTCCTGGGTGCCTTGTTCCAGTGATTACAGCATGTGAATATGGAAAGCATGTTGAAAGCTGTCTCGTGAGCCTCTGTTTGCTTCAACCTGAATAAATGACACAGGCAGCAAAAGGCACTGTGTGCCACAGACCTTTCCAGAGGTTGGACACGAGGAGTGTGTTGCACAATAAAAAAGATGTATGCTGTTAATTTGGTTTTCCAGCTTAGGACTGCATATTTATTCAGCGTGGAAGTAATTTTATTGGTTCTGTTGCCATGATGTTGACCTGAAGAGTATTGTCCCAACTGTCTCTCGTTTGTTTCTGGGGTGCAGAGAGATGGCGTCTCTGTGGAGGAGCTGAGTGGTCTCTCTCTGGGCCTGTTTGTTTTCCTGAAGCTTCTGTACTCTGTGTCTGCTAGCAGAAAAGTGTTCTCAAGTGCTTTCAAAGTGCTGTGGAAATTTCTGCAGTAGTTCTTTGTTAAATGATGTGTAGTGAAGGAATTTGCTACTTCCTCTCACCCACTCATCTCCACATAAAACGTACTTCTATTAGCTTCTTATGGAGTCTTTCCCTCCTCGTGCTGTTGGCTTTGAGGTTGGGAGATGCATTTATATCGACATGCTTAGCAGAGCAAAGAAAATGCATAGAACACCAGAATGTGAAAAGGTGTTCTTCCTTCTGCCAGTGACATGGAGATAGGTCTGCAAGCTGTAACGCTGTTTTCCCTCTATCAGTAATTCAGATCAGTAAGGCCATGTTTGCACATAGCTTAAAGAATTGTGAATTTAATTCTCAAACCAAAATATGAGCTTTATTTTTTTAAATATTTTCTAGATGAGATGTCCAGAAATTTGCTGGATTTAATAAGTACCACTGCTGTAAGCCTAGGAATTGATTTCTGTTGTTCAGCTGCACATTGCTGGTAAATTAAGTAGATCGTAGTCATTCTGACCTCACTCTTCACTACTACTAGAACTTGTTTCAGAAGTTTCTTTTCCTGCAGGTTCTGCCACTTGAATTTTGGCAGCAATAATTCAATTTCTGCAATACTGATACACCTTAATAAATGGTAGGGTAAGAAATAGTTTTCATCTGAAACAAAAAATGAGTAGGCTTTGATAGTTAGTTCCTTCTTGGTTCAGTTTTCTTCAATGCTTCTGAATTTTATAGAAATAAAACAATCTAAATGTTGAAAGCAGACTTCTAAAATGGAGGGTAATGGCTTTTCTTTGGTATGCCACACAAAATACAGACTGAGGACTATTGCAGTTCTGTAATTAATACCTCCTGGGTGAGCTGTATCACTTAAGACAGGGTTTTAGATCAGCTGTTACCACTGGCAGAGCAAATAGGAATATTGATGTCTGAATGAGTATTGCAGTCTGTCTAGGGCTGGCTCACCAGGTCAGCAAGGAGATGCTGGTTCAGTTGAGAAACTTCCAGTGATTGTTTCTGTTTTTATTTCACACTTTGGCAGTATGAAGAGCTTTCCTTACTCATTTGGAGATATCAGGGAGAGATCTAAGTGCATAAAACAAACTGCTGCTGGTTTCTGTCTGTGTCTGTCGAGATCTCTGAGTTAATAGGATTTTCCAGTGTCCTTGAATGCAGCCACTTTTCATTGGACCTCACCACCATCAGTAAAAATGTGCTGCTGGTATCTCTGTACAGGAGGAAGATGAAACTGATTCAGGTACCATGGTGAGGGCAAGTGGAGATGAAACTGGTACCATCAGAGTGGTCAACACAATGAGCGATGGAGCCAACACCATGATAGAACACGATGGCACCTTGGAATCCCAGTTGGGTACAATGGTCATAAACACCGAAGATGAAGAGGAGGAGGGCACCATGAAAAGTAAGAACGCATCTTTAACTTGAGCAGAATTACTGGTGAACTGACACAGTGAATGAAGGGCCGCACTTATAGCAACAGATAGCTTACACGTTTCAAAGGCAGCAGGACGTGCAGTGTGACGAGCCAGCATCTCTAGCATTTGCTCATTTTCTTAAAGTTACTTTTGTTAGCAGGGACACTTGAACAAACCGAGGCGAAATTTGTTCCACCTCAATAGAGAAAAGCTTGATGAGACTTATCACAAGGTGTAAGATTTAAAATGATGCCATGTTGATAGCTGATAGTCTGTGCAAGACCTCAGAGCATGATCTGGGGAAGAGTTGGAAGTGTTTATTTAAATGAAAAGCTGTTAAGGAGAATGAATCTCCTTGGCAAACTAGGAGTAGAAGGGAAAAAATCTTGTCAATTATGAATTCTCATAGAAATCTGTGCCCACATAGTTGGCAATCACCTCTGCCTTAGACTCTTGAGGTCACAGATGGGTCGGTTGGCCGGCATGGATGTTTGTTCAGGGACTGAGTGCTGACTGGGGGCTTGGTGGCTGTGGGACATGGCTATCATAGACAGGGCTTGTTCTTTAGACTCTTGCAGTGTTTCCAGAAGCTGCTTTGGCTGGCTGATTTTTAAACTTCAGCTATGATGGGAAGGGAAAAAAAATTCTCAGCAGAAGTTCAGAAAAATAATTTTCTTATGAAATTTTGCATTGAATCCTTTTTCTATGTGGGTGCACTCTAGGGTTTGTGAGGGGACACTGCTTTCTCCTAACAGATGAAGCTTCAGCACAACCTGCTTCAGGGTTTTTGCAGACTTTAGCAAACACCGTTTCAGTGCTTTAGAAATGGATTAGAAATGGATAAGAAATGGAGGTGTCAGCCCATGCAGCAGAGCCAGGGGAGTAATGCTGTTGGGTGTTTGTAGAGTGAGGTGACCAGCGGGAGGCAGGTGGATGCTGAGAGGACTTTAAAACTCAGTGAAAGAGAGCGGGACGCGTTAGCACCTCTATATCAAATGAAGTTACTATTTCTGCACAAATAGAAGCAGTCTGTGCTGTTCTGTTTCATGATTTACAATAGCAGAGGCATTATCTCCTGCGGTGATATCAAAGCTGTGTCAGCAAAGCAACGATGCTTCAGTTGATCTGTGTGCTTAATAGGTGCTTATTTTCTCATCTTCTTTTTAAGAATGCTCATAACTCAAAAGCTCTGGTGCTTTCTACAAGCTCGTGTGCAGAGCTTTGAGGAGACACTTTTGATAACCTTTCCTTTGCAAGGATTTAGAGTAGAATCAGGAGTATATTGCATATTAATATTGTTCAGCATCGAGCCTCGAGAGGGAGCTCCAGAACAAGCTCTAAGAGCGTAGCTCTGCAGCTAGGATTCGCAGCCAAGTGTGGAGCAGAAGTGCTTGAGCAGCTCAGCATCCCACAGGAGGCACTTGGGGGCCCAGGTCTGAGTGCTGTGTGACACTGGTACCACTGGTGCCACGGTGAGACGTTCTGCACAGCGACATCGTGACACCTGGCTTGCTCAGCATGCTGCTGCGGGTTGTGCTGCATTGCTGTAACTGACAGATGTGATGCTAATGAATATGATTGTACCAAACTGAAACTTAACTTTTCCTTAGCATGTTACTCTCTTTCTCCCTCGGTACCATACGCTGACATTCTTGCTTCTGCACACAGAGGTTCTGCAATGGTTTCTTAGGCACACTGCAGAGCAGTGTCTTTTAGCAGCTTGCAGATGTCTTTCACGTGAATTGCCTACAGCTCTGTGTTTCAGCCATCTCCATATTCATGTTTGCTTAACGTGCAGTTAAATTGATTTAACTGTAAAGCTCATCGGCCTGCTGCAGAACTCTCTGGAGCAAATTCTTTTTGTAATCCCAAACATAAAAGTAATAATGGTATTTGGAAGCAGCTGAATGTGAAGAAGCCTCATTGATTCATGTTTTTAAAGAAGTCAGTGTTTTACTTGGCAGCTTGTGTTATGACTCACAATGAAACCTGCTTTAAATCAATAAAGAAGTACAGACGTTTCTTGCGTGGCATTAGCAGGAGAGCTGAGCTTTCCTGGGCGGCTGCGAGCCACCTTCCTGACTGCGAGCTTCTGAGCTATGCATTTTGCTCTTCTGAGAACAAAAATCTATCTTTAGCAGCTTTGGCTTTTTTTTTTTTGATGTGAAAATATTTGAGATGTTGCAATACAATGCTTTAGACAGTGTTGTCTTAGAAATCTCTAGCAAACAAGTTCTGATGGCCTCCCAAGTGATTCTTGCTTGAATCAGCTCATGACACTTCAGGCTCAGAGGAAAAGCATCCTTATGTTGTAGCATTGTACATAATGCTGAGAAGTTCTTCTTGCTTTGAGTCGACTGAGCTGTGCTTCCATTTGCTTAAACTCTTTTCTTTGCTTGGCTTTTTTTTTCTGGACGCTCGACATAAACATTCAGGCAGCATTAAAAATGTCACCATGACATTCTCTTATGCATTTTCAAAGCACTCAAGTGATTGCATGAAACTGCAGATACTAAATTGTGCTGTGACACATTTTACTTACAAATCAATAGCTACCGGATTACTTATGGATTGCAGTTCAACTGTTCTGTGAAGACTTGAGCAGCAGCTGAAGGACTGCAGGCAAACAATGATTTGCAGTGAGCCATTTCCATTGTGTTTGGCAGTGCAATAAGTTTGAGCTATGGATATGCCTGCAATCATCTTTTTAATTATTCTGTGTGAGAATATATGGTGCTGGTAAACTCTGCAGCATGTTCTTTTACTCCACTGTTCCTTCATTATTTGCTGTAGGTCTTGAGTAGGTCTGTAGGCGTGAGTTTGTCTGTTCCATTGAAAGAGTGGAACATAATTTTATAATAAAGCAGATGAGCACACTGCCTTTTTGGACTGTAATGTGATTTGATCCGAGAGGAATAGGGTCTGGTTTGCCTAGTTCTTGAATCTGTCCTATTTTCATTGTTAAAGTACCTCTTGTTTAAGCACGAGGTAGCACTGCAGAATGAAGAACTGTCAGCAGAGATGTGAGTTGAACTGTTTGGTTTTGGGGTCGAGAGGAGTGAGGGACTGGGAGAGGATGGAGCTGTGGGTGTGGGGTTTGTTGTTAACGTGGCGCACGTGGTGATCATCTGGTGTGGAGATGGACCTGAAGCCCTAACAGCACTGGTAATACTACCCTGCTAATGACATGTGCAGGTGAATGTTCTGAATAGCAAGTGTTTAAAGTAAAATTGCTGGGCTCAGCCCTTAAAGTTAGGGGTGGTCTTGGTTTTGTTATGCTTTTACCATATTCACACTGCTAAGCTTGGTTGTGTCCTCTAAAAAATGTCTTCTTTTTGAGGGGAGATTGGATTTCATTAGCAAATTAAATGAGCTGAGATGCAAACTTGGCAATTTCCTATTAGAAAAATGATCCAGAAGAAGCTTGCTAGCCTTGGTGGATTTGCAGGGCGTGCAGTGGATGATGCTTAAACTGGAGAAGTGTTGCTGCCAAGGTTCTGGAAGCTTTCCAACCCTCAAATTAACCTGTAATTTGTCATATAAAGCGGTGACTGCTTTAGCAGTAACTTGAAATGAACGGGAAAATGAATACAGATAGCAAAGTGTTTGTGATTGTGTTAATATAATATTCAAATAAATATGAATGGAAAGCAGCTGAGATAGCAATAGGTGGATCCATGCCAGTAGTTGACTGAGGTGGTTTGGGTGCACGTTACCCAGACGGATAATGCAGGTATTGGAGAGAATAGCTTCGTGTTTTATTAGAGACACTGGATATGTTTTGCATCCATTTCCCCCTGCAGACATACTGGCTTCGTACTACTTAGCATTAGTAATGTCCAGTGGTTTTGTAGCTAAAATAAATGGGTCCGTTTAGGCCAAATTGGACCATAAAGCATTCTCCATGTTCTGCATTTAAATAGCACACTGTTTATAGAAACACCTCCACTGATTGAGTTCTCTCACTGTAAGAAGCATTACGCTGTCACTCTTGGGTTGTGGAGAATATAAATCTCTCCAGATAAGTCTTCCATACGTGCCTCTTTTTTTTTTTACTTTCATCTTAATAGCAGGCTTGCTGGCAGGCTTTACATTAAACAGCAGGCAGCCTCATTTGTTCAAGAACATTAAGTTGAGTGGACAAGAGGACAGTATTTCTGATCAATGGGAGGAGTTGTATATACTCTCATTTTTGAGGAATTTTATTTTTCCTTCACTTGTACTGGTAGACTGTTGGACTTGTGTATGGCCTTCGCTAGTAAAACAGTGGTTGTGTTCAGACTGAAGCATCAAGAAGTTACCTCTGGGATCAGAGCTGGATGCTCATCCATCTTCAATTGCTGTGTGTGACAGAGCTCTAAGATGAATCTGATGATCTGTTCGTATTTTCAGACACACTGAAGCTGGAGAGAGAGATGCATGTGTGCAGCACAGCTGTTCTTGCTGTTCGTAGCTTATTAAGCACTCCTGCATTGATGATGGCAGGGGTCTGAAAGCAGAAGAGATGTTTTGTTTGATGAAGATGGAAATAATGACTAAGTATTGAATGGCATATAGAAGGTAATACATTTCAGGAGACTCAACCACAAGGCAGGGTGGTAGTGCACCACTCAAGTACATCTGTCTCTTATGCCCAGGTACATTTGCACATACATACAGGCAAAAGGTGACCTACCTTTCTCTTCCAACAATAAATTTGCTTCCTGCTGGGTCAGAATAAAGCATGGGGAAAGCTTTCCTCCCGAGCAGGAAGCAATCCCTCTGTAAATTACTGTGTTTCTTAATTGCAGGAGTTGAAGAACAAATGCTTTTTACCTGCAGCCTTTGAAGCTTTGGGGAAAAAGTGTTCATTGCTATGTTGTTCTGTGCTCTCTCTAGATAAGCACGAGTTCCTAGGTTATGAACCAAAGTGGTGGTAGCAAATGCTTCCTGGTTATGTGCCATGTGGGGAGCCTGAGCTGCTGCTCGTGGCCCTGGCACTAACACT